GTTTGCTGTTACCAAAGCGTCATTGTGAAACGTTGGCGCAGGTCTTACCCCAACAGGTTTGACTGCATGTTCCTTGTTTATGAATACTGCGGTAGCATCCCCATAGCTTCATTCTTGAACTGCAGTCAGACTTGTTGGTTATATTTTGTTATTGTTTAGGTAAGACCTTGCATGTATTACTTGACTTGCATTTAATGAATGAAAGGTTACTAAATTGATTTTGGACTTGAATCTTGATTATTTTGAACTTTCTCTCTTTAACATGTTTACTTATTGCAAAATGAATTTCACGTTACATATTGCAATATCAAATTATGATAAGCAATATTAGATTTCAACGTATATGTAACTTATATGTAACTCTTGTCTATGCCACGTGCATACTTAATAAAGTTATATTTTGACATCGCAGTATAAGTATGGTTAGAAATATTAGACTTTGACTTATATATGTACCTTGCTATTTCCGTAATATCTGTGAGGTAGTTCTGTTTATGTTATTGTAATATACCTCAGGCATAAATGTAATCTATCACAATATTGTCAATTGCTAAAATATGTGTTTGATAATTATTATATACTAACGATATTAATTCTTGTCTTTACAATAAACACTCTTGAACTGCAGTCAGACTTGTTGGTCATATTTTGTTATTGTTTAGTTTTAGATAACTTGTGAGATACAGGGAAACGGCCCGATCTCAATATTAAAGAAACCACTTTGAACAGAAGTCTTAGTAAATTAAATGATTCGTACCAAACTTTGCCTATATTCAGGCAAAAGAGACATGTTCCCTATGAAACAAGCTAATATAAGTATGAGATTTATATTTGATTATAAAGAAATACAAAGTGTAAGAGCTCATAAGAATCTCGGCACAACGTTCTCTTCGGGTGGTAAATGGTTATCATCATATTAATAATTTGATTCAATCAACTGCAAAAATTATTTACTTTCATCAGAGACCATATATTATTACATGGTCTCTGCTTTCATGCCGCCATATAGCTGGAATATTGCTGAGTGCGGCGTGAACTAAACTCACTCACCTCTTTCATGCGAAAATTGAGTCATACTTGTGTTATTTTTTTACTTCCACTTCTTGAATGTACTTGTGAGTAATGGGAGGCTTGTTCAACAGAAATGAATTAAACTTGAAAATCACCAGTTGAAGGCAGCTCGTATAATGACAGGCTTACCAACACATGTTCCCCGATCTATATTGAAACGGGTTGGAATACCTTCTCAGAAGAAGGAAGTATCGTAAGCTCTGCTTCTTTAACAAAACTAACAACTGTCTAACCCGTTATTACACGTGTTATCCTGCATCAAATACTGTTATGCCAGAGTACAACTCAAGACATTGACGAAATCTCTCAATACCAATTACTAGATCAGTCGTTTCACTCCTTTCTGCAAAATTCTCGAATTGACCCTATCAGTTAGAGTCCGGCACTCTAAGTTGTTACAAAACAAACAAAAATACACACAAAATACGCGGCTTCATATTTCACCTGTGGTATAGTATAATAGATTGCTTACAAAATTTCGCTACTCATACTCCCAGTTGAATTGTGGCTTAGATTTAGTTTAATACACAGCTCTAAATGTCTCTGTATTTCTCCGTGGTCGATTTATCAGACGACCAGATTTGTAATGTTTAATAGCATGAATGAAATTAATAACACTATGCTTGTCCCTGATATATCATAACAATTATTGCTAAATGAGACTGTCCATCTCATCTTTAATGAGGGTCAGTGGGGTAGCCTAGTGGTCAAGGCATTCGCTCGTCACGCTGAAGACCGGAGTTCGATTCCAGACATGGGTACAATGTGTGAAGCCCATTTCTGGTGTCCCCCGCCGTGATATTGCTGGTATACTGCTAAAAGCGGCGCAAAACCATACTCACTCATATTCAATGAAAACGCGTAGTGTTTCACACTGTACATAAAATTATTAATCAGACTAAAATGATTAAATGAATATAAAACCCCACTTCCTGGTACACATCTCTGTTTAGTCTTTTTTTTATATACTCTGTACTTTGTAAATATTTCAAATGTGATATTATATAAGGCTAATCCGGTTTATGTTTTTAGGGGAGAGAGCTATCAAAGTTGTGAAAACTTGAGCGCAATCAGTTTTTGTGAATAAATATGTTTAAATCCACGAAAGAGTTCGGCTTAAACAACTAACAAACAGAACATGGGTCGGGTGATCACGACCGGTGATTTGACTACATCGTCTCATCTAACCCCGACGGTGGGGAATGATCATAATATTGACCACTGGTTTGTCGGACTCGTTTATTTACAGTCTGCCGCCATGTTGCTGGTCGCGGCGTTAATCACTAGCAAATAACATGAACAAACGGAAGGATATATCTTTACCATGATGTAGATGAAATATTTACTACTCATGGAAAGTGATTTTCAGTCTGAAGCTCTTTTGTTTTGTGAATTGCTGTTCTCAAAGCATTTAATTTGAAACAATTACCATAGCGATGGAGATCAATTTTTTTAAAAGTTGATTACAGAAATCGTTTTCCGTAATTTTCTTTAGACACTAAAACACAATACGTGCCTTTAGCGTTCAACTTACAAGTTCATTACAAAGCTGATTGTCATACAAAAATAAAACACCCAGTGTACAAGCTTTAGATCATATTCACAATACAATATAGAAAACGATCTGGTACTGCAATATTTAATATCGTTCTGAAATAAACAAAATGTGACACAATCTCATATCCTGGCTATGTGAAGGATCAAAACCGACTCCGAGGTTTTGTTGTAGAGGTATGTCATGGATTTCGATGCTAGCGTGAACACAACATTGTGGCTAATCGCCCACTGAGAGACTTCAATGTGATTGTAGGAGCGTTTCAGGGAAGCTACTTGTGAGTCTTCGGTGTTCATGGACATACTTCTGCTGCTGCTCTGTGAAGTAGCATGAACCTGTATTATTTTGTACGTTCACTTTAGCTCCTGTCCTCAACAAAGCTGCAACACACTCTATAGACCTATGTGTTGCTGCAAGATGAAGTGATGTGGACCTGCATTACTTTGTACACTCACTTCAGCTCCCCGTCTTCATCAACGCACTCTACAGAGCAAGGTGTCTCTGCAAGATGACGTGGAGTGCATATTGTAATGTATACTGGACAAAAATAGTTAGGGACATATGTAAATTTTGAAATTATGAATAATGATTTACATGTATTTATTCATTGACACACTGATAAAATACCAATCATAAAAATACCAATATCCTTAACTTTTTTTGTCCAGTATATATCTTGCTAAAGCTTTTATTAACACATCAACACATAACTTCAACAAGCATGTTGCTGTAAAAAGGTGTGTCACCTGGGGTACTCTATGGGGCATGGTGGGCGAGCTGGCTAAAGCTCCAGGCTAGTGGTCCAGCTAGTCTGTCTTACAGACCCTGAAGCAATATATCCAAGAAAGCCCTCACAAGTCTAGAAAATGTGGCAAGTCTAGATTTCCACAGCTTCAGGTAGTCTAGTGATCCAGCGATCTTGCCGTGTCGGGACCGGGTGTGAAAACCTTGGAGTCAGTCAACTTTGTGTGCACACTCTTTCTGTGTTGTCACAATCCCTGTGCACTGTGCACTTAAAAGAACCCACGAATCCGTTGGTATATGACCAGATGGTGGCCACATGAACACGTGCAAACACCTAGTTGCAGGTACACCAACGTGCAGTAAACTTGGGCAAAGTACTCTGACTATGTGTCCTAGTCCATTCAGCTGTCAATGGGTACCTCGGAAGGATGAGAAAGCCGCAATAACTCGGTAAGCCTTGTGGCTGCAAGAGTTATATGCTCCCCAGGGAGTTGAGATTGATAATACGAAGAGCTGTTGAGATTGACCAGCGCCTTGAGCATGTACTTGTTGCGTGGATATGTGCGCTATATAAATATCCAATATTAACAATTATAATATAGATTGTAATGTTTATCTTGTAAAGTGTATATTTTGATAAGTGGTATGTCAAAGACATTACTTTGTACATTCACTTCAGCTCTAATCTTCACCAATGCAGCAACAAACTCTACAGACTGATGTGCTGCTGCAAGGTGAAGTGATAGTCACCTGTATTATTTCCTTATTGTAATGTATATCTCGTACAGTGTATATTTTGATAATGCCTTTGTACCATTAACTGTTCGTCCTTTTTCAGAAGAGCAAATCAGCTCATGCTTTTACAACACATCAACACAGTTTTTCTTCATCACCCTGTTCATTGCTCTCTAGTTGTAGTCATCTTACGACTATTCACTTCTGTGGACAGTGAATGGGTTGAACACAGTTAATCATACAACGCTGGTGTTGGACAAAATACACAGGTATCAGACAACTTGATTAACAAATGGTATATATTCACATATCACAATCTTTATATATACTCATGGTCTGGATGTAGTGACCTGGAAATTTGACATTGTTCTTGACATTGGTAGATCAAAGAAATATGTAGAGGATATTATATTCGTGCCCATGTCATACTATGTTTACGACATGAGTACCCAAATGTTGGTATTTCCCGAGCGAGAGCGAGGTATATACTGCTATTTAGGCAGGAGTGTCGTAAACATAGTATGATATGGGCAAGAATATAATATTCTGTTTATTACCGAAGCCGTCAAATTGAGGTAAATAACCCAAATCTACTTTCAAACATAGGCTGTCTACCCGCCGTCGTAAGCTGGTTCCCGTCACAGAAGAAACGTAGCATTGTTCATGACGTCACATCACCATGACGAAGTGATATTTTGCCCTAGGGCATCGTATGAAAAATATTTACCCCGATATGTTCGCCCTGGTAGGTAATAAACTGTCTGTAGTCTGAATACACTGCACACGAAAAACCTATCATTCAGGAAAACTAACCTATACTGGCTAAAATAAACAAGTGGTAATAAAATAATTAACTTGTTCGTTATTAATATAACAATAAAACATACGAGTGGAATGAAAGATTGGCAACTTTAATACACCAGTGGAGGAGAAACTAATACAAAGCCCTCATGCGGGGGCTTAATACAGACAAGAATTATTCCTCCAAACATCCTGAAATAACTTGCTATTAACAGATATATACATAAATCTGAGTAATTAGCCATAGCCTCAAAACAGTAATACTACTGGGTGGGTGGGCTGGGGAAAATTATGAGCGCTGTACCGCCATGCGGGCGGGCGTGCTTACTTGTCTAACGTGCAATGGAAGGGAGATAACTCCAGCTGGACTTATGACGATAGGAAATCTAAAGGAGGCAACTGTGCAAACATTTACTGCCTCACGTTAAAATATATTTTAAAACATTAAAATAACACCTAACTTAAGACTAACAGGCTATTGCCATTTGTTAGTGGGTCGATAAAGCAGGCACATATCCACAAATGTATTTTAAAATCTCAACAGACAACACATTGCTGTCTTCTTTTTCGCATGAGTAAATGAACCCGGGTCTGCATCCACTCTTCATCCCACTCTTCAGGCCAGCATGCCCCTCCAGAGGGAAAGGGTGTGGACCTGTGGTATTCTGTACATTGACATCAGCTCCAGTCTTCAACAACTCATTCACAGACCCTTTTGACCGACTTGAAGCTGCTCTGTGTAGTGGTGTGTCACCTGTTGTATTCTGAACATTCACCTCAGCTCCAGCCTTCAGTAACACATCAACACACTCTGTAGACACTACTGCGCTATGTAGTGGGGCGTCCCCTTTATTATTCAGTACATTCACATCAGCTCCAGCCTTTAACAACTCATCCACACAACCTTTTGACTGACTGGAAGCTGCTTTATGCAATGGTGTGTCACCTGTTGTATTCTGTACATTCACATCAGCTCCAGCCTTCAGCAACGCTATAACATGTTTATCAGTAAGCATACTTGCTGCTATGTGAAGTGGAGTGTTACCAGCACTATTCTGTACATTCACTTCAGCTCCTGCCTTCATCAATGCAGCAACACAACACACTCTACAGACCGATGTTTAGCTTGCTGTGTGAAGTGGAGAGTCACCTGCATTGTTCTGTACATTCACTTCAGCTCCAGCCTCCACCAAAGCAACAACACACTCTACAGACTGATGTGCTGCTGCAAGGTGAAGTGGTGTGTTGCCTGTTGTATTCGGCTCGGAATATGTACATCACCTCCAGCCTTCATTAACACATCAACGCATTTTAAGTCTGCAGATTTGTTTCTGGACTGATGTGCCACTGCTATGTGCAGTGATGTGTTACCTTCGTAATTCTGAGTATTCACATCAGCTCCCGCCTTCTGTAATGAATCAGCACACTGAAAAGAAAGACTTTTTGATGCTATGTGAAGTGGTGTGTCACCTGTGGCATTCTGTATATTCACATCAGCTCCAGCCTTCATTAACACATCAACGCATTCTTTAGACATGCTTGTTGCTGCTATGTGAAGTGGTGAGTCACCTTTGTTATTCTGTATATTCACATCAGCTCCAGACTTCAACAACTGATCAACACATTCTTCAAACTCTAATTCTACTGCAATATGAAGCGGTGTGTCACCGTTTCTATTCTGTACATTGACATCACCTCCAGCCTTCATTAACACATCAACGCATTTTAAGTCTGCAGATTTGTTTCTGGACTGATGTGCCACTGCTATGTGCAGTGATGTGTTACCTTCGTAATTCTGAGTATTCACATCAGCTCTCCGTAACGAATCAGCACACTGAGAAGAAAGCTTCTGGTTGCTATGTGAAGTGGTGTGTCACCTGTGGCATTCTGTATATTCACATCAGCTCCAGCCTTCAGCAACATATTAACACATTCTTTGGTCTCTGTGGCTACTGCTGTGTGAAGTGGTGTGTCTCCTTTATTTTGTACATTCACACCAGCTCCAGCCTTCACCAACGCATCAACAAATGCTTTACATTGTAACATCATTGCTCTATGAAGTGGCGTGTCACCTTTGTTATTCTGTACATTCACATCAGCTCCAGCCTTCACCAACACATCAACAAATGCTTTACGTTGTAACTTCACTGCTCTATGAAGCGGCGTGTCACCTTCTTCGTTCTGTACATTCACATCAGCTCCAGCTGTTAGAAGAACATCTGCACAATCTACAAATCCATAATTTGCTGCTGTATGAAGAGGTGCATCTCCTGTATTGCTCTGTATATTTGGATCAGCTCCTGCCTTCAGTAACACATCAACACGTTTATATCCGCATCCTACTGCCGTATGAAGAAAGGTTTTTCCATCCAATGCTTTCTTGTCAATATATGCATCCTTTTCTAACAACATCTTCACAATGTCAGGCTTCCCCCCTTTCACATGCAATGAAAAGATGATTTCTTTCAACTTGGGCACCCCTGTCTAGGAACAATTTAACCATGTCATTCTTGTCACTGCCAATCGCACAAAGCAGGCCCTTATGATTGTCACTGTCACATCCTCTATTCAAGAGAAGTTTAACAACCTCAATGTGTCCATTTTGTATTGCCAAGTACAGAGGCATATGCTGGAAAGCCATCTGTACATTCACTTCCACACCTTTGTCAACAATGTATGCAACAGCGGATGTAAGACCGTTCTCACAAATGTAATGAAGGACAGACTTATACCGTCTGTCTGCAGCATTCAGATCAGGATTTAAAGACAGAATCTGCTTCAAGAAACTGCTGTTTCTAGTTCCTGCTGCGATCATTAGCGGTGTTTGATGATCCAATCCATACCGAGTGTCTATATCAAAGTGCATGTGTTCTTTCATGTATGTCAAAACATTGCCAGCAGCATTTCTGCACACCCCAAGTAAAATTTCTTTAATTCCATTCTGAGAAAATTGTACGCTTTCTTTCATCATAATGTAGTTGATAAACTGATGTGATTTGTTGCTGGAAAGTAATTCACAAAATGACTGATGCGATGATTTATCAGTAAGACTTAGCATATCAGGAACGGAAGCATGACAGCCTGTCTTCAGGAAGTTCATCAGTTTGTCAATGAACTCCACATCACAACATGCCTGGTGTGACAGCACATGCAACAGATTCCTTCTTTGAACTTCAGCAGCAAATCTCATAGCTAATTGTACAGCATAGAACTGTGGAATACGTGCTACAAGATCTGTATCTACAGATGCATCATCAGCTGATCTTGTGGAAGGTTTCAAACGAAGACGTTGGTGGATAAATGGCAAACTGCACTTTTCAATGACAAAGCTTGTGTGATTCTGGATCAGAATAAGGGCAACAGTGTCAAAAATAGATGGATGGTCGAACGTGTATACATCATCTTCCTTCTTGAGATAAGATCCAAGTAAGTCATTGGCAGCTGACTTGCAATCATCTCCTGGTATATCCTGCTCACTGATCTGTCCATCTCTTTGAGCCATAGCTTTGAATAAGTCACACTTACTTCTATCTGCCAGAAACTTGTTCAGCGTCTGTTTGAGAAACCCAAGAGGCTTGTTGAAGAAAGACTCAACTGGAATCATATTCTTTTCCTTTTCATATTCAGTGGCAAACATTTTACACACATGAGGAAACCCATGAGGACAGTCAGCATTCAATATTTTAGAAACAACTGTCTCATTGAAGTCTATGTTCTTCCCCTGGGCATTAACATTCCAAATTTGTCTTTTTTCATCTGTGTCTCTTTGAGTTGTAATTTCAACCACGTGTTGGATGTTAGTGATATAATCTGCCATTCTTCCCAAGTCAGTCAGTGAGGATTTCAGAACATAATCACGACCTACGAGGATAATAATAGGTCCCCTTTTGGGTGGTCCTTTTCTTATAGACTGTTTCGGGTCACTTCTTGTTCCATCTGATGTTCCTGCAACCACAGCAACATTGTCTGTGAGTTTGTCCATATCTTTCACATCCACAATAGGTCGTAGACTTGGTCTCCACCTCGCCCATTCTGCTCTGTCGAATTCCAGATCACCAAATATGTCATCCAACATTATGACAGGGTGGGGACAGGCCATAATTACCTCATTGAACTCTTCTGGCGACACAACCTGAAACACTTGTCTCCCTTTGCTTTGTTGATCTTTGAGAGTCATGTAGGCTACTGTAGACTTCCCCTCACCTGGTCTTCCCTTAATGGTCACCCATGTTGATCCTCTCTCAATGCGATCAATTACCTGCTGCAAACCTTCTGTGTCCACTATGTTCTTGGTCCAGGAATGTATCCTTGAAGTTGTTCTTTCTGTAGAAATAATGCATATTCCATAAAAAAAATTGAAATATCTATGAAACCATATGTTCTTTCAGGCAGTTCAACCAAAGAATACAGAGATATGTATGTCTGTCTTACTGTCCCTGCACTGCATTATTGTCACTTCCACACTGCCCTTTCTGCATTGCTAAAGCCCTAAATGAAGCAAGTCTAGATTTCCTCAATCTCAATTCTCACTGGGGCTCTACTTCAATTTAAAAGGGACCTGAGAAGATCTGGGTTAGAATTGATCTTCAGTAACCCATACTTGTCGTAAGATGCCATTAACAATATCGGGTGGTCAGACTCGCTGACTTGGTCGACACATGTTATCGTATCCCAATTGCATAGATCGCTGCTCATGCTGTTGATCACTCGATTATCTGGTCCAGACTCAATTATTTACAGACCGCCACCATAAAGCTGGAATATTGCTGAGTGCGACGTAAAATTAAATTCACTTACTCAATTTAAAAGGAGTTCTGTTTCTGTCAAAAAATTATACATATATTCAGAGATTAAGCATTAGATATTTACCGCATTTGATATCAGAAAACCTTGAAGCTGAAAGACACATATACTTCTAGCTATCTTAAAGTTACATGCATTTCAAGAATTATGATCTTCAGCCTCCAGTCGAACCATTCACATAATTTATCCGTTCTTATTCAAAACATGGGCACACACGTCAAACAAACACACATGTTGGCTCAATAAACGAGAGGTATTCACACAACATCCACCAGAATTCATCTAACTGTATTGACCACTTATACATTTTCTACCTTAGGACACTGGTTAAATTGTACTTATATTTATAATACCTGCCATTTACCTGCAACATTATTTGTAATGTCAAACTTCAGGTGCGGCAAATATAAAAACTAACTGCAGTCTTATAAATTTAAACTGTTTACAGATGTTAAATTTATTTATGGATTATCCTCACTGATTCAAAATGTTTTCATTGTCCATACATTACACTAACACTTCTAGAGTTTGACCTCTAGCAACCAGAACCTAACATGAAAATCACTCAAAAGATAGAACAAATATATATGGATGATAACTTCTTTTATTCTAGAGCACGACATTTCGATACAGGTTCTTGTATCGTTTTCAAGTGAGAAAACTTGAAAACAATACAAGAACCTGTATCGATATGTCGTGGTCTAGAATAAAAGAAGTTGTCATCCATATATACTTGTTCTATCTGACTTCCAACTTCTAAAATGCCACTCAAAGAAGTCACCCAAAAGATGCTGTGATCTGAACCATATATGAACCACAGCAACCTTGTAATTCTGACAAGCTAGATCGTTAATACTTATGTTGTCAATTACAAATACTCACATTGTTGTGTGGACATGTTATTTATATCCCTGTAGGTCAGGATTATGTTCTTGCCCCATGCCAAAACAAATTAATCACACCTTTCAGACCGAATCCTTCACTTGCAGTAGAGTCCGCTACACAATTTCCTTACTTTACACGACCCTCAGACTTCCTGCAAAGTGAGTGAGTAGGGTTTTACGTTGCTTTTAGCAATATTCCAGCTATATCATGGTGGGGGACACCAGAAATGGGCTTCACACATTGTGCCCATGTGGGGAATCGAACCCAGGTCTTCGGCATGATGAGCGAACGCTTTAACCACTTGGCTACCCCACCTCCCCTTTCCTGTAAAGACAGGCAGCAGGCAGTCTTGTAGTGCAAGGTAAAATGAGTGGCATTCTGGAAGTTGGTAGTATAGAGATGACAAAACTTAATGTATGATCAACTCACTCCGGATCTTCTGGACTGTGCTCAAAGCTTGCTCCTCCTCTTCCTCCTGAGCAGGCTTACCAAAGTTCTGAGTTCCGCCAATGCTAAGGTTCTTGGCTCCCTTCACTGTAACTTCCCCAAACTGTTGCTGTACTTGGATAAAATTGTACTGGGTGGCTCCTGGTGACAAAATGGAACAAGAGATGTGAGTACAAAATGTGTCGATGTATGTGTTACTCTCTCTACTAGTTACTGCATGACATTGTATAAACGCATGACACTGTATAAACGCATGACATTGTATAAATGCAGCTATTGCAAATAAAAGGCCATTGTGCGGGGGGGAATGACCTTTATGGAGAAGCATGTACAATGTGAATGACCCCCACCTAAAATATATGTTCAAAGTAAGTGACACCCCTCTCCCCTGCACGTCATGTACAAAACAGTACATGTGTACAAAATTGCTGACCTCCCCCAACGCCCATCTCCCCAGAATAAAATGGTCTTACTCTCTCCCTCCTCCGTCAAAATCAAAATCATCACCTTCCCCTAGCCATAAATTACAAATGGTCCCTAACCAAGTAAAAAAGGAACAAGGTCACATCAAAACAAAGCTGTTTGACTGTACATAGATTACACCTTAATAACTTCACACTTGCTGTATATGCAATATAGGGCAAAGACATCTGACATTATTCAATCATGTGCATCACTTATCTAAACGACAAGCATCTCCGTTTTCTCATGTACCACTCACCTGGAGGAGATTCACTGGTCAGTGGTACTTCCGGTACTCCAAGTGACTGAATCTCTGATACAACAGATTCTTGTATGTTAGACATGCGAGGACGAATGGAAGATGTTGATAACTGTGTTTGAGTTGTTCTTGGGCTTGTTTCTAAGCAGGGTGTAGTTGCAAGTGATGACGTTTGCCTCTGATCTACATCTCCAGCTGGGTGGAGTTGTGTCCCTTGGTGTAGCTGTGGTTGAGACGTCTGCCTCTGATCTACATCTCCAGCTGGATGGAGTTGTGTCCCTTGGTCAAGCTGTGGTTGAGACGACTGCCTCTGATCTACATCTCCAGCTGGATGGAGTTGTGTCCCTTGGTGTAGCTGTGGTTGAGACATCTGCCTCTGATCTACATCTCCAGCCTGATGGAGTTGTGTCCCTTGGTGTAGCTGTGGTTGAGACGTCTGCCTTTGATCTACATCTCCAGCTGGATGGAGTTGTGTCCCTTGGTGTAGCTGTGGTTGAGACGTCTGCCTCTGATCTACATCACCAACTGGATGGAGTTGTGTCCCTTGGTCAAGCTGTGGTTGCGACACTGGTTCTTGTGGATTTCGGTAACATCCAATAACATGTTTGGCCAGTGACGTAGTGCCTGAAAATGGAACAAAACTTATTACAGACAGATATCTATTAACAGAATCTAAGTTTCACATTTTTCATTACTTACAGCATGACAACTGCGTATTATGAATGTTACTCGAGATCTGTGTTGACTAAATACAAAGATCAATTTATAACACAGGTGCTCAAAATTAGAGATCTCGGAAGTAAGTCATGAATACATTATATGCTGTATGATGCTCCAGCACCTGATTTTTCCACGATGTAATCCTTCAGTTACTATCTTTACTAATTTCAGCCAACATACCTTTATCTACAAGTTTGTATGATTTTTGTTTCACAGTCTGGAACTTCACTTTCGCTGCACCTGCTCCAAGTTGTGATATATCTCCTATTCCATCTCCATCCCCATCCTCTTCTCCTTCCTCTTCCTCATCTGTGAAGTCACTATACAAACATTCTTCAGCATCGTCCCTTCCAACATCAGCCTCATGTGAGGGAACATCTTCCTCTTCCACTGCTGTCATGGCACTGTCAACACATTCCCTGTTTACAATGTTCTTGTTTTTCCCTCGCCTCTTGGCTCTTGTACATCCTTCACTCTCAGAGTCACTTTCATCGGTCAGTGGTACCTGTGTTTCAGTCAATGGTACCTGTGGTTCAATCAATGGTACCTCTGGTACCCCCAATGGCATGTGCTGGCTGTGCACAAAAGATGATGTTGACGATTGTGCCTGACTGGTTCTCTGGTCCACATCAGGTTCTGAATAAGTTGTAGTTGTGGATGTCAATGCCTGTACCCTATCTACATCACCAGGTGACAGGAGTTGCGTCCCTTTGTGCAGCCTTGATTTTGACAGTTTCACAGTACCTGTACCCACTTGTGACTCATCTTTTACCCAATCTTCCTCCTCCTCCCCATCTTTGATGTCACCAAGCAAAGACTTTTTAACTCTCTCCCCGCTGACAATTTCTGCCTCCCGTGAGGCACAACCTTCCTCTCGACTCCTTTCAATAGGGGTAACTTGCGCCATGCCTGCAGCACTTCCTTCATCTTCATTGTTTTTACGGTCTTTGTTTTTTCTCCTCGTTGCCTTTCTACATCGTCCCCCATCTGCATTCTCTTCATCAGGCTGCTTGTGACACTTCACCACCCTTCTGCGCTTGCTATCCATTCTTAAATCTATAACTTGCTCCTAGTTCATGTCCTGGAACAAGAACACTTCATGTCACAAAAGAAGGAAACACAACTGATTTCTCAACTACACACTCTCCACCAACCACAACTACAGCTATCCTACATGACAAATGTAAGTAAATATTTATTACATGATCAGGGATTTACTTCTTAGATTGGCATTCTAGAAGTTGGGTAGAATCTATGTCGAAACGTCAGTAGTAGAGAGAAAGACAGTCCGGGACCAGTTCCAACAAAAGCCTCTGCAAAGCCTTATTTACCAAATAAGGCTTTTGTCGGACCCTTAGCTCTTGCTACCATTTCCCCTACTATGAAAAAGTTTGAGACGCTAGCGGGGTACGAACGCCCAATGTTATACCTTCTAGCCGCGCTACTGAGCTACCGGGGACTTGGCTGAAGTTCATCTATGCCGTGTTGACAGGAGGTAACACTGTACCGTACGGTACGATCAATAATTCCGCTCTTACAAACCCCCTACCTGGCCCATCCCTCAAGTAGTATAAGTTAGGCTCGTCTGCTTTGATGTCCACTTTATCTATGTTGTAAGTTTTGACTGACCATATAGGATCGGTGGCTCGCTTACGGCTATCACCCTCGTGTTCCCCCGGCTGGTATAGATACCTCACTAGGGCCCTATCTGGTATCTGTTTCTCCTTCCCACGCAATGGAGCAGCCGGCTCTGCAACTATTGATTTTAGTTTGATAGCGTCTGCCGGTTTCTTATCCGTGAGCCGGTGACTTCATGGTTGATTGCCGACACCACCTTAGGTAACCTCGCGGACCCATTCAGTCGATCGCTTTTCCTGGGGTTACCATCTCCCTAGCATACTGATGCCCGAATAAGCGCCAGCCAAAGTCCTATTAAATCTCTCAACTATGGCTTGGCTGCGATGGGCTCCAGCCGCGCCACGCCTGACCCTTTGTATCGTGGTTTGGCTAGCAGTTGTGACACGGCACCCATGAACTCCCGTCCGGGGTCAACTTGCAGCTCTGTTGGCCAAGCCAGCGGACTGCGCTTTGTATATGTCAATCCTCTGGCTACCTGGGCCGACTTCGTGGTCAAGGGTTCGGCTTCCTTTGTAGCGACTGGCTACGCCCACTACGGTTAAGGTATACTTGTACCTCTTGTCGTGGGTAGGAACAGTAGGTCTGCCTGGTGAACGCTATTAGGTATGTTAATACCGAACCTCCTTCTAGGCATCGCATGCGCGGTGCCGCAAATAGATCTGCCACAGGGCTTGTTTTTCGCCACGCTTTGGCTTCCTCCAGGGGTACTCGCCATTTTAGCCAGCTTATCTACAGCGCCAGCTCCTTTCCAGTACTCCACGCTGGCTATAGTAAATAGCCTCAAACTTTCTGGTTCCGTGACATGTTCAATTTTCTCATGTCCATACGCTGCACGTCGTTTATCCCATCAATAGCTATCCAACGCTTAGTGTCCATAGGTGACAGGGACGCCTTTGTTTATAGTCAGTCCAGATATCTTATGGCCATCACTTCTAAGTGTGTTCATTTTATGCCTAAAGGTAATGGTCTTGAACAGGGCTTCCTTTGAATCTGGCATGTTTGATGTGTTGTTTCACCACATACTTCTTAACACCCTTAGCCTTCCTCGATTTCACCATTGTCGGCCTTCAGTATGGAGTACATCTTAGGCCTCAAACCCTATGTACTCGCTATGGGCGTATGCCAGCACACTCGCCCTTCATCTTACCTAGGACCTTTTTATTTACCGCATCGTGTATGGCATGGTCCTTAGGGTAGTCGCTGGTGTCATACAAATCGAGGTGTTTTTCATGTCCTCGCATTACACGCCCCTCGGTTCGAATCTCCATCAGCAGGGAATCTGTGTCAGTGTACAGTACTTCACACCTGTCGCCGCATTCGTTTCTTGAGCTCGCTGTAGTAAAATCGCATCAGGTGTTTGGATAAATCGAGGATGCTCATCCCCACGCAAACAGGCCGGGTTGAATTTTATGTGGCTTTTCTTCATGTGTAGGGCAACTAGGTCATCGGTGAATATCTTGCTACGGTTGAATGTCGGACTGGCTATCAGTCTCCTGAGCTTGTCTTCCTCATTCGACCGAATCCAGCTTCACGGTCACGCTTCCTCAGGTTCTCCATAGTCTTACCAAACACCGAAGTTGTTCATGAGCTTGTAGAGGTTTTTCTCAAAGTCACTGGTGGCCAGCTTTCGAGGTCTGTGTTCATTCTGATGTAGGCTCCATCCAGGGGCTCTGGGTGAACACGAAGCACCCTGTGTATTTTGGTCAGCCTCATACCCAACGCATTACAGGTACAGCTGTAGGTTGCGATAGTGAACGATGTACTTGGTCTTATTCATTAAGTTAGGCACGAAGTTTTCAACGCCTGTCACACTTCCACCTAATAAGTTATGTTGGTACTCAGACATCCAGTTCGTTAACCCTCATACGCTCGGGGCCAGGGGTAGCTGTTGTGTGATGCGTAATTCCTTGGGGTATTCCAAGTCAACCTCGAGGATATAACCTTTGTTTGAACTGTGCGATGCTCATAACATCGACTCTCATGTGACTTCCTATTCAATCCCCTGTAGGTAGATACTGGCTCATGGCCCAACCGCATAGGTTGTTGGCGCCGAGGTAGAGAATGTGATTGGTTGGCTTGCTAGGGTCGAGCCCTTAACGTATTGATTATTTGCTTTCGCTGTGATCGCTTGGTTGCCATGGAGATCCCACCTCGCAAGCCTTTCTCAATGAATAGGTGCATGTCGTAATCAGTAAGCAATTCCAACTTAACTCCGTCTTTTAAGCAAGGCATCCCACCTACAGACCTGGGCTGGTGTAATACCACGCGGGTCGAAGCTTATACTGCTTGAAACATGTCCGCCTAAACGCCTCAAACACGCCGGCTAACAGCAGTACATCCGCCCTCGCACAGGTCGTGATAATCCCCAGGTTCTTACAACTCAGTTTATTCCATACGCTAATCGCGGCGAAAGTAATCGCCTTGGGATATTTCCGAGTCTGTCAGATTGCTGTAAAATTCTCTGATAGGGGTAGTCTGGTCTCGTGAACTTGGGCCAACTATCCATGTACTCATAGGGTACACACCCTTCCTCATAAGCAGGGGTCTAGTCTCGGCGCCTGTGTATCGGTCGGTGATAGGGAAGGTATCATTGACCTTGACCAGACTGTCTAATGAAGACAAGAGAAATTGTACTGAATCTATGAACCTAAGACCGCTTTAAGCTGAAGGAGATGTATCTCTCCATGTTGTTGGGAATGCACGCTATATTACCATCGATTTTCGCTGATGGCCTGCATGATTAAGTGAGAGTCGCACTTCTCAAGTTGTGAAAGACAACGGGATGTTTATTGTCTTAGGGTTGATTCTAAGCTTGAGGTTACATCGCAGCTGTGAGCCACTTATACTTTACCGGTTACGGGCAGTGATCTCTCACCCAATCACCATTCAGTGGTGAGTCACACACGCGACAGTTAGTGCTACAGGCGTGAGCTAGCCTGTCGGCTCGGTCATACGCATTGGAGCCACTCTATACAGTGCATTCCTAATAATTTTTTCTTCCTCCTGCAAACACTTTAGAAACCTTTCAGCCGCCAGGGCCCCTATACACTACCGAGCTTTCGCTTCCCCCATCACAACGATCTATTAATGTATCCAAACCCACAGGCTTCATGCTCATGTGTTTTGAGTGTGGTTGGGGTATCCTCTAGCGCCGGGCGTAGCCTCAACTGTTGGGGTATCCCCAACAACTGGTTTGACCAAGGCTTCATGAAAGTCAGCGTGATATGATATAAGGCACGACATTTGGTGCTTGTGGTTGCCGAATTTTAGGATATTGTCACCTTCCTCAGGCATGTCGCACCCGCATGGGTCAGCTCTGCCCCACACCTTGGCAATCCTCCCGTGGGATTCTAATAAATCAGCTCGGCTGAAACCGTGTAGGCATCGCACACAAAAGTGTTTTTCCCATCGTAGCCACTGGTCGCGGCAAACAACCGGGTGAGATGTTTTATCCACGCAGTAGTGATACTTTTCACCTCGCTGGATCATGAATATATTGATAACGCCGAGGGGTTTCCCCTGTCCCTCCACCAGTTGGGGTTTCCCAACACTGGGCTAACCCTGTGCACTATTGTTGTGTCGCCTTCGCTCCAAAGACATTTATAGCTAGATTATTCTGTTTTTCTACTTTAGTGATCTGGGATATGGGGTTGGTTCATCTATACCATCCCAGTTGAGCCCATCATCTTGGGGATAGCTAGAAAGCCTGTCTGAATGAGTGTCAGCTGGAAACAAGGCTGACCTGATAGCTACCCTCAGGCAATCGCCTCTCTATTCTTAACGCTACCATAGCCTGTTTTTTCCTATAGTAGGGGCAAGTCTAGGTATGACCCGCCTCTGAAAGGCACGAGTTAGCTATGTCTAGATAGACATTATCGATTTTATCTACAGCCCACCCAGACCCCAAGTGTGTGTAGCGCTCTAGGTATTCCCGTGATTCGCTGAAAACTAGTATCGCATTGATGCTGCCAATGGTCTCTATGTGTGGCAACCTCTTGTTTACCTCGAAGTAAGGCTGAACGCATCAGTGACCCCGCCTCACGCTCTTATCGAGCCACATTTTCACTGTGATCTGAACTTGATACTTCCCAGACTGGCTAGTTCCTGGTTGATCTTATCAGCTATCAGTGGCTTAATATCTGTAATGTCTATGTTCCTATCAACGCATGCGCCAGCCTTCAAATAGTTGCCTACAGCACGCCAGTGCATCGAACTGTAGGTCGACAGCCTCTATTCTGTCGTAATAGTTCTACAAGCTGTGGTTTCATACGGAATATCCCCCTAACCCCAAATCACGCGCCTCGGTTTTCAATTGTTTTACAGTGGAGGTTTTGCTACGGGGCATGTGATAACAATGCGATTAACCCGCTCTCCCCAGGTTTGAATAACCCGTGAATCCAAGCTGTTTTGCTTTGAGCTTTTAATTCTTTTACCGTAGGAGGG